CAAATCTGTCAATTCTGAACGTCATTGTTTTAATTCTGCCATTGGCAGTTAACAACCCAACTTAATAAAGTTTAATTGTTAAACGAACTATTTTATGCACAAAACTTTTCTGAAGAGGCCACTCACGTATCGATGTTAATTATAACGCGTACGAACTTTGGCATTTATATTAATTCAACTTCAAACAAATATCAACCGGAAAAATACGTCTATGCCTGTATTTGATAGGTAATTGGGTATTCGAGTAATGGAATTTGGATATACCAGGTTCGCATCGGATTGGGTTTACGTACGGTTGAATATTGATTTTGTTGTGTATAACGAAAATCAACTTAGAGGTGAGTCATAGAAGCACATTAAAAAAAAGGTAAATCGAAAACGTCCGCCAAATATTTTGATATGAATAACTGAGCTCATAATCTAAACAGCAAATACGCCACTGACAGGAAAACCATTTCCACCAACAAGACAAGGCAAAGGACTCAAACCACAGACATGTACGGCTCCGCAGGAACAGGACAATAACGAGGTCTGCCGCAATAGGCAGCTGGATGACCCTCTGGCGTACAATTGTCCTGGACGTGCAATGCCACACTCTGTTTTCTGAGAGTGCATTTCTGCGGTTCGGCGTTCGTTCATCCTAATTTTAGGGTCGAATAAAAATCTTGTAGCGTCTGACCTTGGTCGCAGGTGCCGCTAGAAAATATAAAGGATAATAAATAAATTGCCTTATCGCTAAACGCGAAACAACTTCAATAACGACATACAAAATCATATTCGGTAGCAAAAGGCTATCACCGCTGGGTAAGGTTGCAGGAACATAAACGGAAATGAAGTTTTCCTAATAATAATATTAAAAATTATAATAATTGTAACAATAATAATAATAATAATAATAATAATAATAATAATAATAATAATAATAATAATAGTAATAATAATAAATCAGCTTTATTTCTCCTGAAAGTATGGCATAATTTTTCTAAACAATTAACTGTGCCTAAGAAACAGGCAAAATATAGGAAATGGCTATTCCAACTTAATTTTGTCAAGTCATCAACTACTGTGATCCGGCACTAAATGAAAAAACACAAGAAAAAGAGCATTGATTTCAGTATGTCTTTTTGGATTAATAGTTGTACAGCTTCTTGTCTTAGGAGGTGTATATTTTTTTAAAGCGGTTTTTCGCATATAAAGAGTTTATGTTGGAATTGGTTATTTTCTTATTCCTGAAAATATTTAAAAATTTTCAGTCTTGATTAATAATAATGATAATAGTGATAATAAAAATCTAGGGAGATTGCAATGTATTGTGTGAAAGAAATAATCAGAAAAAAACAAATAGAATTTAATGATTACCCACAAAAGGTACACCTTTTTAATTAGCTAGCTTCATGATAGTTCCTACAAATTAATTTTCACATATACTGCAATATTAATAAATTTAAAATCAAACAAACAAATAAAAAAAACACTTTAATCTCATAGCAAATCTACGGTCCGTCTGACTGTTTTGAGAAATTTATAAAATTAATGTATAATTATATATTATTATAATTATGCAGTTTAAATGTCACGTTAATAATACCAATAATAATAATAATTTTTATTATAATAATAATAATAATAATAATAATAATAATAATAGTAATAACAATAATTATAACAATAATATTTACATTTAACTAAAGTTATTCTAAGTAGGCATTTCTGTGCAATTTCGAGTTTTTGTAAATGTGTTTCTAAAACTCCACCCCATGCGGTAGAGAAGATGTGGTTGTATTAGAGCTGAATATAGAATTTTCAGATATTTAATGCACGCGGTTTATTAGTAACAAATTGGATATGTTTATCCCATTTCAAATTAGGATTTATTATTACTCCGAGATATTTATGTTGTTTTAATTTACTTCATTTGGTTATTAACATTAATATTAATTTCCTTGAATTAGGGTGGCGAATCAAAATAACAGCGAAAAAGCATGACAAGGTTTTGTCCATTGCCCGTTTTTTCTATGGGAGCAGACCTAGTGTCACGTTTGAAAATAATAACGGAGTCATTTGTAAAACACATAATTTCTCCGGCTGGCTGAATATGACATAAGTTACTAATTATAAATGTTTAACAGGACAGGGCCAATACAATCCCTTGCGGAACGCCTGTTTCTAATTTTTTTTTTCAGAACTGTACTGCTCACAGATTAACACGGACTGGTACCTTTTTTACATGCCTCTCAAAGCTTGAATGGCAACATATTTATGTTATTTAAACTCAAAATAATCCATTCCATTGGTACTTCATAAAATCAGTAAAAGAGATATTTAATGAACCGTATGTAAAATGTATGTATAATAATAATAATAATAATAATAATAATAATGATAATAATAATAATAATAATAATAATAATAATAATAATAATAATAATAATAGTAATAATAATAGTAATAATAATAATAATAATATTAATAGAATATAGAATAGAATAGAATAGAATTTATTGGCCATTCAGATACGTCACAAAAACAACAAATGGTACGTCAAAGGTTAACAATACAAAAGAATTTATATATATAATATAAAAGGTTGTACAATTTTTGAGAACTAACACACTAACGCAGTGGTCTATTCAAGTGTAGTATGTTTGATCAACTCCAAGTATTCATTAATATCATAGAAAGGATTATCAGTAAAAAAACTTTTCATTCTCTTTTTAAATTGTCTGTATGGTAGATTTTTTATATTATTTGGGAGAACATTATACAGTTTAACATTAATCTTATTGTTTTGTGAGGACGTCAGTCTGGAGTGAGGTGGGGTGATCATGTCAACATACCTAGTATTATACTCATGTCTATTGCCAAGTGTCCCATAGACATCCGCGTTTTCGTGAATATCCAGGATGGATCGGTATATATAAGTAGAAGGCAGCGTCATAACCTGGAAGTCAGAGAAAATGGGCTTGCAGTGGGCAATCGGGTTGGCACCGCAGAGGACCCGCACAGCCTTCTTTTGCAAACGAAAAGCTCTTTCCGTATATCCAACCCCACCCCAAAGCACAATGCCATAAGACAGCACACTATGAAAAAGCCCAAAATAGGCTATCCTAAGGGCCGCCGGGGTTAGACAATGGCTGAGATGTCTCAGTAGGAACAGTCGCCGAGACAACGTTGCACAGACCTCATGAATCTGGCCTGACCATGACAGAGTCCTGTCAATTACGAATCCCAAGAGGGTTATATTATTTTGATACAGATAGTCGACTTTACTGCAGGAGAAGGTAAGTTCTTGAGTTTTTTGTTTATTGAGGACTAAGTTATTTGCAGAAAACCATTGCTGGAGAACATTTTTTGCTACGCTGACATCTTCACTAAGCATTCGTTGATGCTTAGCTGTTAACAGAATGGCAGTGTCGTCAGCAAACAAGGTGACATTCGCATCTGGCACGGACAATGGCAGATCATTTATATAAATGATGAAGAGCAACGGCCCAAGAACCGAGCCCTGTGGGACACCGCAGCTCACTGGAAGAGCATCATCACTCGACACTCCACCAAACTCAACATACTGAAACCTGTTACTAAGATACGATTGTATTAACTTTAGAGGGATACCTCTGACGCCATAAAATTTTAATTTGTTTAAGAGCACATCGTGATCGACGCAGTCAAACGCTTTCGTAAGGTCGTACAGAAGTGCCTTTGATACGTCGCCAGCATCGAAACCCCGCACCACACTGTTCACAAAGTGCATAAGTGCATGGGTCGTGGATTTCCCCTCACGAAAGCCAAACTGCGATTCACACAGAAGTTTATTTTCCTCAAAAAACAGTGACAGGCGAGCCTTCAGGGCTTTCTCAATGACTTTACCGAATATAGGGGTAATTGCAATGGGCCTAAAGTTATTTGGTGTATGTTGATCGTCTTTTTTGTGAATGGGAATTATTTTTGAAAGTTTTAGATCCGAAGGAAATACGCCACTCGAAAACACTGCGTTCGTTATGGCTGCCAGGGGACCCACGATGTACTCAATGGTGTGTTTCAATATTTTTGAATTTAAGCCGAAGCAATCGGTAGAACTTGAGTTGTTTAGACCCATAATAATGCCATCTCACTCTCAGAGACCGGGCTTAAGAAGAAAGATTTACACGGAGAGGGTGTTTTCGTAAGGTACACATATGGGTCACTGGATTTCCCAATGGATGATACTAGGTCATTTACTACATTGGAGAAGTAAGAGTTAAATTCGTTGGGTGTGATTGAGTTGGGTATAGCCTTTGAGGCTCGGTTAGTTTCATGGTTAATCAAGGTCCAACAACTTTTGCTCATGTTGCTGGCTCTAGTTATAAAATTGGCATATGCCTTGGATTTTGTTTCTTTGATCATTCTTTTGTAGTTAGCATTAGCCAGTCTATACTCAGCCCAACTGTCGCGTGGGGAAAATATTCGACACTTGGCTTTTAAAAGCATCACGTGATCCCTCATAAGTTTGAGGTCACGATTGAACCAGACCACGGGGGGACGGAAGGAATTACTGCGCTTTACGACTTTAAAGTGATTCTGGATATTGGCGGTGAAGATATGAAGCAGTTCTTTTGTTGAGTTGGTCGGATCGGCGTTAGTATTAATAAAAGGTTCCCAATCGGTGCTCTCAAAACTTGTGCAGAGGTTATTCAGACCCGCCTGGGTAATTGGTCTGAATTGAATATGGTCATCGTGCACAGAGGAAACATCAAAGTGTAATTCCATAAAAACAGCGGAATGATCAGAGAGTGCTGGATCCTCACTGCCCGCAGTGAACAGAGTGGGGGATATATTGACAAGGAAATTATCAATGCAACTTGACGTAGTTTCAGTTATACGGGTATGGTCAGCGACACTAGGGGAGATTCCAAAGGTGGCAAGTAAGTTGACAAAATCCATCGTTAGAGCATTTGAAGTCAGGTTGAATTTGATATTAAAGTCACCTGTAATAATAAGTTTTCTCTTCTTAGAGTAGAGGTCACTTAAAAGAAGTTCTAGCCTGGATATAAATAGATAAGGGTCGCCGTGGCTCCCCGATCTATATACATTGATAACTACAGTATTTTTGTGGGTTAATTCAATGCCGCAAAATTCGGCATGGATGTCTAGTGAGTATTTATCTAAATCTAAAGTTCTACAGTTGACTTTGTGTTTGCTATAAATTGATACGCCCCCTCTGACCGCAGTCTGACGGCATCGAAAGCTTTTCAATAGAAAATTATTTACACATATTGATTTTAAAAGTTCTTCATCACAGACAAAGTGTTCAGATAGACAGAGAATATCTACATTTTTACCCAGCAAATAACCGTTGAGTAAGTCAATTTTACTAGAGAGACCATGAATATTTAAGCTAAGAATACTTAGAGTACCTTTACTACTTGGGTTGCTGCCCCGAAGCACGCCGACCGAAAAAACGATTCACGAGCACTCCAGTGGGCCAAATGGAAGCATTAAGAATCTTCTCTGAGTCAGCGTCCAACACCGTGCACTTGAAAGATGCATAACTTTCAGGGAACATGGATCGAATTTGCTCCACTTGAACCTCCGCAACCATAGGCTTCAGATATTCTTCAATGTCACAGGCTCTAGTCGTCGGATGCATCTTGGAGATGTGGAACTGTGTCCTTCTGGTTGCTACCTGTAACTTACAGGACGCAGGGTCTTTAAGACTGCCCACTATCGGCTGAGGTCTGGAAGTGAGTAATAATAATAATAATAATAATAATAATAATGATAATGATAATAATGACTCTATTCCAATATAAAAGAGGAAAAGGAGAAATTGATGCTTAGCTTCCTATCTTAACCTATTTTGGTGGTAATATTATAATATAATATATGTCCGATTTAATTATAGAAGATCGGATGGTTTTGCAGATTTCAAAATTTTGCATTAAAGGAGCAGGTCCTATATCTGCGACGATAAAACTCAGTACTAGCGCATTAAAAAAAGGAGCGAAAGTGACGACTTCCAAAAGTTAATTTTCATTTATCGCATACAACTTTTGCCTTGCTTGTAACGTGCCCAAAGATTTAAATATAATTTAAAACTGTTAATAAATCTGATCTAAAATACTATCCGCACGTTCTCTAAACGACTCCAATATGAATAAATTAAGGTGCGTTCACTAAAAAAAACAAATTTAAAAGACATTTATCTGAATCCCATGTCCTGAAAATGACTTCAAATTACCTTTCCGTCACATGTCAAACGTCAAACAATAATATCACTTCCACTTTATCAGAATTAAGATATATATCTACAGATTAAAATCTAAATACATTTCAATCCAGTTATAAACTATCTACTTCGTATGACAATGCAGAGTTCTATTTTCTAAATGTGTCTTTTAATGGAATTCCCGTCTAACGACTCCAACTTCGAATTAAGGGCGAAACTTTAAAATTGCATACTTCGAGAATAATGTGAACTTTACATTAAGTTAAATATTAAATTAGAGAGTCGTGATGATAGCAAAATTTCAATTTGTCCAAAATTTCACTGAAATAATGTAACTTCTGATAGCTTCAGTTTGTAGTTTGAAGGGTTCGATACGGATGCGGTTGTATTGTTTATTTTAAATTTGCGATTTAGGAATGTTGTTTTTTGTAGAATATTTTTCGAAACTAATATGTGACATTACCGATTTTATCAATTAAAGTTAATTAACCTGTTGACCCTCGGATAAATAACATTATACAGGGTAGGTACCCTGTAATTATATTGAAACAGATTCTGAGAGTTTCAAAATATGTTTATGATGGATTAATAGATTATGATGTTGTTTTTAAGTGGTAGTGCCTTATGTCAAAAATAGAAATTTTTAAGGATACAATATATAAGAAGTTGCCACATTTGCTAATATTCCCGTTTTTTATAAATATATTGCGGCGGGCTGTATTTATTTTAGCTTCAAAAAGTATCATAAGAACATAGTGCAGTATTTTATAAACTACAGCAAATACACAATGTAAAAAACTATTTTTCTTTTTATTTGGTTTTTTTAGAGGGTTATGTTGTTACACTGTTGATGTTTTACACTGGGATGTTTTATTGTAATGCTCAAATAAACTTGTGTTTCCGCAATTTTTTGGGTAAATCCATATGGTCTTATTTTTGCGAAGGATGGCCTAAGAGAAGTTAGCAGCTGTGTCTGAGAATGCATTCTCTTAATGAGGAAAGTTTGTAAAACAGCCAGCAGAGAGGGCAACACTAATATTAAATAGCGAAAAGGGATGCGCCAATTTTTTGTATTTAGGTATTAAGCTCTCCAACGACTACTAGTGATTTCTTTTCTTTAGACTTTTTTGTCAGACAATACGTCAACGAGATCTTTTCAGCATGTTTCTGGAACTCCTCAAGTGTGCCTTTGGTAGCAAAAAAAAACTTTACTTGAGTCACATGGGATTTTCACAATTTATTTTGTAATTGTCAAAAAGTATATAGAAATAGAAGTCCTTATTCAAAATATAATTAAAGAAGAAGAAGAAATTATATAAAAAACACTCCAAATGAGACTAGCTGAATAATGAACGGTGCAAACATATTTACAAGAATGTTATGTATTACAAAAAGAACTTAATGCTTAAAAATTCATGGACATTATCTATCAATTTGCGAATTCTCTGACTCTTGGTACTCTTGCATGGACATCCACATCTGTTGAAACGTTCGATATTTTTGATTTTGGGAGATAAAATTCATTCAGTATGATGGTCAATAATTCTACATAGGGCCTCTATTATTACATCAACATTTAGCAAAACAAAAAATGGGACAACACTGTAGGAATTGCTTACGCCTAATAATTTAATATTTTACTTAACATACGTTCGTATTATTCTGGAATTAGGCAGTACAAACTTTTATTTTATCCAAGTACCAAATTTAACAAGTATTAAAAATGAAGAAAAATGAATCTGAATGCGAAATATTATATAATATATAAATAATATATATAAATAATATAAATATATCGACGACCTCCCCTTGGACCGCTATCAGAATCTTATATAGGGTGTTCTGTTTAAGGCTAATACCGGGTCAGAAAAAAAAACGCTTTTTGCATACAAGTTTAAATAAACACGAGAAACATTATTTGGTTCATTAAACATTAATTTTGCTTTTATTTCTAACCGGTTTTTATATTCAATAATCCGTCTTCTCATTGAACCATTGAAAATTGAAATTCTGTTTTTAATACTTTAGAGTAACCACAATTAATTAAATCAACTTAAGGATAGCATGCCATTTTTGGAAATATATTCACTGACTCATGACGTGGTCATCACAATTAACAAATCTTAAAATGGCTGAAATCTCTCCCAAATCCGTGGCTATACTACCGAAAACGTCAACAAAGTTGCCACCTTAAAGTGATACTTTGCGCACGCTTGGGCTGTGCATAATTGACCATTGGAAAATAAGAAGTAGAAAACCTAATCTAATCTTCTCTAGCTTATTAAACTACGTCTTTTGTTTCATTTTCATGTTAGTTTTCATTCAATTTGTTACCGTTCGATTTTTCATTACCCTTTTGACTTTTCCAATTTGTATTGATTTTTTCATATTTAATTACATGTATAATTTAGGTAGGTAACGAATACCTACTTTCATTAACACTTTTTACATTCCATAATTATATAAAACCTATAAGTTTAATTCTCACCGACATGAAGTATTTCTTTGGTGTTATTTTAGTCTATTTATCAAATAATCGCAATTATTTTATTCCCACTTCTACTAAATAATCTTTTGTTTTATTTTATTTTTTTTAACGTTTATTTTTTTGGTTATGTATTTACGGGAATTGGTATGAATAGCGACATATTGTAGTCGTGATATTGTGGCTAGTATTGATTGATAAATAAACTTTGTAGTTTCAAGAGTTCTTGGTGTATTACTTTGCCGATGTTGTCATGTCGTTTGGTGTATTCCTTTGGGGCAAGCGTTCGACATCCGCTTATTATGTGGTCGATCGATTCAGTTCTCCGCACATTCTACATTTGTCTGTTGGAATATTTTCCTTCATTATGTATTTTTTATAATTTCTTGTTGCAATGACCTGGTCTTGAATTGCTATTACAAATGCTTCGGTTTCGAGGAACAAGTATCCTTGTTTTAGCCAATTCAGAGAGGCGTCTTTGTTGATATTATTATTATTCTTTAATTCACGCAGGTAAGTACGGGTCAAGATTCCAGTGTCGGTGAAGTGTTGTCACAGAACACTGGAGTTTTGCGTCTAATGTTCTATGGTGATTTTTTATTTTTACACCTTTCGCATTATGTTACAAGTTGATAGGATGACTGCTTTCTGGAGTTGCGTAGAGAGGGCTTTCTGCAGTCCGACGGCTTCCAGATTCCGTGCCAGTTTCGTTGGAATTTCGCCCGTCGCTCCAATTATAATGGGCATAGTCTTGATCGTCCTTTTACCCCAGGTCTGCTTCATGTCCTCAGCTAGCGACATGTATTTGTCAACTTTCTTCTGATGTGTCTTGTCAATGTTAGTGGGGTGTCATATATCATGATGTCTGGTCTGTTGTGTTGTACGGGTCTATCTGTTTGTATTTGTCTGTCCCAGTAGACCCTGTAATGCATATCTTCTACTATTGTTTGCGGCACGTACTGATAGTATGGTGTTTTATCTTTTATAAGGCCGAGTTTGTGGCAAATCTCGTTGTGGATTATTTTTGCAACGTTGTTGTGCCTTGTCGTATACTCGCGCGGTGCCATCATCTTGCATCCACTAAGAAGGTGTTCTATGTTTTCGTGACTCTCGCCACACATACGACATCTTGTATCGGTTATTCTTTCGTCCTTAACGATGTATTTCAGGTAAGATTTTGTAGGGATGATTTCGGTCTCTGGGAATATGTTGCTTGATGTAAGCCATTTCATCGTAGCTGGGCCGTCGATATATTGGCTGCTAAGGAGTTGGGGGTATCTGCCATGCAATTCTTTCTCTCTCCATCTGCTTTGAAGGGTGGCGATATTGTAATCTTGGTCACATCTGTATTTCCTATTTTTAAGGTTAAGTGGCGATAGGCTTCCATCCATTTTGATAATAGCTCTATGCAGCGCCGAGGACGTTTCTTTACCATAGAAATACTGTCTGAGTAACTCTACCTGGCTCTTGTAGCGGAGGCGTATGTCAGTTATTCCCCTTCCGCCTATCGCTCTAGGCAAGTGGAATCTCTCAATGCAAGCTTTGGGGTGATGTTTGCGATATTTTGTGGAACAGACTCTTGCCATGCGATTGAGTTCATCCAGGTCGGTTCGGGTCCACGGAACAACACCAAAGCTATACGTAACTGGGACAGCAAAAGTATTTGAATTTTTTTACCAGCTGTCGCTTTACTTCGTCTGTTGTAATTCCTCTGGCCTGGGAAAATCCAAGGTACGCATATGTCTCGTCCCGATAAGGTGTTCATATATTTTATTGCAAAGAATACCGCTCAGTATCTTGAAGAGGGTAGGCAGACATGTGATGGGTCGGTATTTTGAAGGATCTTCTACTGGTAGGTCGGTTTTTGGGAGCAGGTAAGTAACTCCTTTAGTTAGAAAGGATGGTGCAGACTCGGGGTTTTGTAGCAGGTGACTAAGGAGGTGGCGGAGCCTGGGCTTTTGATGACGTGAACCTTTTATACCAAAAGTTCTGGATCTTGTCCGGGCCCGGTGCTTTCCAATTAGCAGCTT